CCCACGGCAGCCCAACCATATTCCCTGGATAGCTTCTTGAGCCTCGCCGTCAATCCCTGTGGTTCTTGTGTATTCGCCTTGCTCGCATCGGGTTTCGCGTCTCGTAACCGCGAGGTCTTGTGGAACGATCGCTTGTTCGTTCGCAAAGGGGATTGGTAGGATTTATTGACAGGGTGTGGAATTCTCGGTCTATAGTTGATTTTTCGGGCGGCTCTCGAGATTGGGAACTCCAGACTCGGCTGTGCTATTGAAGCAAAGGCCCGTCGTAGGGGTTGCGCTTCCAAGCCGAGCGCATTCCGTAGACCGACGGCACTTCCGTATGGCTGCGGAAGGGGGCGTAGATTGCGAAGGTAGGCCCGTATCATCGTGTTTTCCCTTTTCCCTCCAAAACAGTCGGTTCGTGGTTCGCAGTCGAATAACCGGCGTACTCGGAAGAAGCTGTAAATTCGTCGGTAGAGGTGTCAGATATTTCCGGGCGTCAGCGCATTTATAGCCGTAGATTTATCGCGTGACCACCAGAAGAAGAAAAAAAGCTCGAAGGTGCAAGCTAATCCACGAAGTTTGCAAGTGCCTAAGAAATGAATTGATAGACTTTGACAAAGTAAGTCGTACGGATAGGCGTGGTCGCAGCTGGCTGAGTTGTGTAGATTGGAATAAGAACGGTGACGCGACGATGAGGTCGCTGATGATATTGGTTGAGAATTCTGCGCCAAAATTTGGAAAGCTCGTCAGCTAGTACCGGCCTGCACGGTGATGCAACCGAGGGCGGGACGGTGTTTACAGGGACCGACGGGCTGCGGGCTCACTCACAGCCGCCCAAGGACCTGTGCGCTTTGCTAACGCCGAGCTTCCATTGCCCTTAAATCCGCACCTCTTCCCAGGTAGCCGGTGTCACGATGTTGATGTCAAAAAATAAAGTAGTCATATATAGATCTTATACAGAAGTATAATTTCAATGATTCGCCAAGAAGCTATTTCCACGAAAGAATGTTCGTTGTGCTGGGTAGAATCTATCCTTGTTCTTGATCTACAGGAAAGAAAGAGGAATCAGCTTGTAGCATCTGTAAAGCAGCGAACTAATCATAAGGTAAGGAAGTATGTGTTTTTATTCATGTTACTTTCTAGACACTTCATACCACTTTGTATTATTCTTCAGCGTATCGCTTATAGACGTAGGCACCTATCTCAAAATGTCATGACCTTGGAATCCTTGCAAAACTCACTTACGTTTCTCAAAGGGTTTCTACTAGTTTTATATGAGGAGTAGCATCCAGTAAGGTTCCATACACGAACTGGAAGCTGCAAGTAGGCTTGGAGCTAGACATATCAGTTATACCTCTCAAGATACTCTATACTCGAGCCCTCTCACCGTTAACTGGGCTATCTTAACAATTCCCCGAACTAACGATTTTCGGCCGACGTCCAATATTTCTCAGTCAAACTAATAGCTGTTCTTTCCAGCATGAAACCACTGTAGTGCTCAGCATACAGGTCTAGACCACGATCTAGCCATGCATGGCGCTCTAACTAGGTGCCAACTCCTTGGCGTCTTTGGCGGCAGGAGAAAGACGATTACGCATAAGGTCGTTATCCTGGCCTGCATAGGTTCTACATCGACGATTCTTACGAAAGGATTTAGTTGGCTCGCTCGTGCCTTATCAAAAACACATCGAGTTTTGAGATCGGCGTCGTCCAAGGTGTGATCGACTAGGAGATGGTGGCAGGGCGACGACGAGTCGGATCGGAGGTACCGGAACTTGGAGTAATACGTATCTCCTGAAGACCCATACACTCTGATAGCTCTACCATATTTCGTTTGAACTATTGTACACAAATATGATGAAGTCGATTATAAAATGCGAACTTGCGATAATTTTCGAAGTAGTCATCTACAAGCCAATCCATCATTTCATCCTCGTGTTTTTGCTCGGATGATGAATAGAGACCCCCAACTCCTTACGCTCGGTCCGAGTAGTCCGAATGCCTCAGCCCACTAGGTATGGGACGCATAGTTATAATCGAATGGTATTTTACCCCTCCTACTTACTAACTAGTTACCTAGGTAGACTAAATACCCCTCCATGTGCTTCCGAGAGTTCCTAAGCCTGTAGCTCCTTATGTATGTAGCTAAGCGTGAACATCGCAAACGTTACACTGCACTCGGTAGCGCTGACTCCCTATTCGCGAGACCCTGAAAATCATCAGAATTAGGAAGTAAGGAAACAGAGGTGCACTATTAGAACCATTTGAAGGTCTTCCAATGGTATGGATCGGCAGCCACCTATCCCGGTTTGTGAGGTGAGGTGACATCGCATGTCATGAAGACACAGTAGGCGCAGTAAGCTACACCATGCACTATTAGTGATTACTTAGAGCTGCCGTATTGAAGATGCGGCATCCAATCTCTTGCCGGCATCATGTCAGCTTACCTTACTAACCTAGTAAAATGCGTGTCCCTCATGTTCATGTCGTAGATTTCCCCTCGACTTTCTCAGACCTTTTTCTTTTGTTTGATACTAAATTTTCCAAATCAGAGTCAATCATTATTATTGAGACCTCTCGCTACGAAAAATGAGTGAAACATATGACTACATCGTCGTTGGTGGCGGCACATCGGGGCTTGTGGTGGGAACCCGCCTCACCGAGGATGCCAATATTCGCGTTCTGGTTATTGAAGCTGGAGCCGACAAGAGAAAGGACCCCCCTCTGGAAACACCGGGTCTTGTCGCTGGCGCCTACGCCGACGATAGCTACATCTGGCCATTCCGGTCAACGGCACAAGTGCGGAACCCTCCACTACCGATAATCACCAGTTATGCAGCCAGCTGGGATTACTGACATGTTTATGATTATCAGACCGAGTTGAATGGCCGCCACCTTCGACAGGATACCGGCAAGGTCCTAGGCGGCAGTTCATTGACCAACTTCATGATGGCCATGTTTCCCTCGCGGACGAATCTAGACACATGGGGTAAAATGGGTAATAAAGGATGGACTTTCGACGATCTCGCTCCTTATTTCCAGAAGTTTTCGACGTCACACCCCCCGAGCCAGGCTATCCGTAAGACTTTAGGAGGTCTAGCATACTACCAGGAAGACCTGACGGGCAACGGCCCTGTCCAACTCTCTTTCGACGACCAGTATTCAGTTATGAACGAGAAATGGTTCAAGACCTTCGCCGAACTAGGACTAGAGATGAAGACGGATCCCAGGACCGGCAGGGCTATTGGCGCGTTCCAGAACTCATCAACCATTGAAAGTGGGAAGAATACTCGCAGCTCCTCGGTCACCGCATATTATACGGAGGAGGTCGCCAAACGACCGAACTTCAAGGTACTGACGGAAACGACGGTGCAGAAGATCGCCACAGAAACCCGGGAGGGTCTGGTCACTGCCACGGGCGTACAAGTAAAGGACAAGGACGGCAAGGTCACGACTCTTAAGGCCAACAAGGAAGTGATCCTGGCCGCAGGAACTATCAGAACACCGCAAATCCTGGAATTATCTGGTATTGGCGATCGCGATCTGCTCGAAAGCCTCGGAATCGATGTGTTGATCGACAACCCCAATGTCGGCGAGCATATGCAGGATCATCTCATGACTTCACAGCAATTCCCTGTGAAGAAGGGGTACCCGTCCGCCGACGGGCTTCGCAACCCAGAGACGTTCCAAAGCGCTTTTGAGCAGTACGCATCGACGAAGCAGGGTCCGCTCTCTGGCATGGGAACCAGTGTCGCCTACGTACCACTGGCGGACCGCAATGGCGTCATGACCCAGGCCGACCGCAAGGCCCTCTTTGACAAGTATCTTACCAGTGGGCCTGCGCTGAACCCGGTCCAGAAGCGCGAGTTCAAGCTGATACGTGAGCTTCTCGAATCCGAGATGGAGCCCGCCATCCAATACCTATGCTTCCCGGGTTCCCTTACCGTGACTCCCCATCCGGACACACTGACGGACATGTTCACGTCTCATGCGCCGTACGATTGTATCGGCATCCTCTCCCTGTTCAACCATCCCTTCTCTCGAGGAAACGTACACATCGCCTCCAAGGACGTGTCGGTGCCGCCAACCTGGAACCCCAATTATTGCACTCATCCACTGGACCTCGAGATCATGGCACGCACGGTCGGCTTCGTCGAGAAGATCGTCAACACCGCCCCTTACAAGGACATGATCGACCCGGAGCTCAAGCGTCTGCCCGACGCGACGGGCGACGACCTGGAGGTGGCGAAGGAGATCGTGCGCGGACGATCGGTGTCCTGCTTCCACATCGCCGGCACCTGCCGCATGCTGCCGAGGGAGCTGGGCGGCGTCGTCGACGAGCGCCTGATCGTGCACGGGACCTCTAACATTCGCATCATCGACGCTAGTATGATCCCCCTGGAGCCGCTCGGTAATATCCAGACGACGGTGTACGCCGTCGCCGAGAGGGCTGCGGACTTCATCAAGGAAAGTAGAAAGACGGGAGGAACCACCCTTCCTATACGCTAGACAAAAACGATGGTTACACTAAGAAATAGAATGACGAATAGATATAGATGCGATGAACAAAATGAATAGTAACGAAGTTTCTATGATGATTCTGACCTGCCTGCTTGCGTCGTCATTTCCCATACTGAACGTATTCTTTAAGGAACCTGCTCTGAGGCTCATTCATAATGTTCTTGTCGCTGCAATTGACACACTTGATGCGAAAACTGGCGAATGAGGTCATTACTTGCCAACAATTACCCTCGTATTACCGCGAGTTTTATTTTCTCTTTCCAGATCGGTATACCGCGATTGCGATTGCAATATGACTGTGCTGCTCACCCAGCCCCAAATAGTGGGATTTCCAACAACAATACGGTTGGTCACCCGTCTATCTACTAGACCAATTTTTGAGCCCGAGAGCTGCAGGACTACCTACCCTTAGTTAGAAACATAAAAGAAACTGCACGGATTGTTACAGAGGGAAGTTAGAAACCCTCACAGCCGGTATGAATCAAAAATCAAAAATCTGCTCAGGACGAGGTTCGAACTCGCGCGACTTTCGTCAGCAGTGTAATAAGATGTTGCATGAAGCATTATAACTTAAAACTGCCGCCTTAAACCACTCGGCCACCTGAGCGGTGATGTCTCGGGGTTGAGAACCACTTGAATGGGAAAATTTGGCAGTAAGTCCTTTTATAACCCAAAAGAGTCAGAGCGGGTTAATACAAATTAAGGACGCTGTTATACTACCTATATGTCTCGCATTTTACGGGCCGTCCCAGTACGCTGCACGGTTGCTAACTTTGAATTACAGCCTTATAAAAAGTATTAGTAAATTAACCAGCTTTAATATCTGAACGTACCTAGGCACTTATACATAGCGCGGCTTCTACAAATATATGTTTTTTTTCGGGATGTTGGTATGATATCAATGATGACCGTTATGATCAACTGCTCGAAAGTAGCGGACGGGTACTCCCTGAACTACCTCTATCTAGAGTTTCTATCTAAGTCTTATCTAAATCGTAGCAGGCAAATTTATATGTGTATAAGCCTGGATGTCCTGTGTTTGCTATCCAATCCATGTACTTGGACACTTTGATGTACGAATACATGACTCCCACAGATCCCGATAGAGGTGAAATGACCATATATTGCCTTTAGAAGAGTAATAGTTATCTACGCACAGTGCTGTTGGTTAGTAATTCCGTGGCTTGTCGTACTAATTCAAGCTAGACCCGTGAAATGGTCTTAAAGAATGAGTAGTAGTGCTATCAATGTGTAAATCCAATGGAATACTGTGATACAGTACCGTTACATACATAACTTAAGACAGATATGCAAAACTACATAGGCCAGCAGATACCTAATAAATCATACCTATGGTATAGTCTCTAGAATTTGCCCCTGGATTGAGTTACAGAGGTATTCATACCTATCTTTGAATCTAAGATTAAGATGCTTGACATCTAACTTTTCTATTCTGGTACTCAATCACAGTTAGTTCTTTGGGAACCACAAATGTAAGCCAACTCTGTATCGGAACAACTACCAGATCTTAGACTGGTAGATGAAACGCAGCCTGAGACTCAGAGTTGTCTAATCCAACGGTATCATACTTGCTAGTCAGCATATCAGGTATCCGGGGCGCTCTAGGAAAGTAGGACGATTAGTCTGAAGACCGCGTGCGGAAGGTTTCTCAAGCAGTCGCCTTAAGCGTCTAGGTTGGGAGTAGACATCTGAGAAGTGACCGTGGGAAAAGGGGAAAGCGATGTCAAGCGTTGCGTTTTCGAGGATTCCTGAATGCGATTACGTCCATGTAAGATTATCTAGACATGTTAAGAGCCGTTAATCAGAAACTACAAATGTACAACAAAAAACATCTGTCGTATGCTGTAGCTTTATTATATCTCTACATGATTAAGCCGAGAAAGGAAAACAACCTAATTCCGAACGTCTAAGCATAATATCGTCCTCGAAACCGAAATAACTTGATATGTTTGCTTGCTGTTACCGCTTCGTGTCCAAAACCTCGGTCTCGTTCCATCATTACCTTCTTCCTGTCCGTTCACATAATGCCTCTGTGAAAAAACGCCCTGCCTTCCGTAGTCCATCACTCCTGGGAGACATAATAGAGCAGCCTGGCTCAATCCTATTAAATCATTTATCCTACACAGTACAAGAATATCAACCAGCGTATGATGGCCGAGCGACCAGCTGAACGGCCAATCGTCTCCTTCATTAATATCGTAAGTCCCAGTCCCACGCGTGTCCGGACTCGTCATCTTTATTCGCATGATCTGCGTGATCGTCACGGAACTACACGCCGATCTGCGACATGCTGGGACCGCGGACGGAGCCGCCGCCCCGTCGGAATTCCCTGAACGCAAGCACCAGGGTGGCAGTGAACGTGGCGAACAGGAACCACATGAAGACGAGGCCTGCTTGAACCTCGCGGCAGCGCTTCTCCGTGTCGGCGGAACCAAAGGCGATCCAGTCGGACGGTCTCGTGCCCTGCGAGTACACAATACTTATCAGTAACTGATCAATCACGAGTATTGGGGATCGCTCCTATACTCACCCAATTGGCACAGTTGACGGTAGTCAGCTTTGCCGACAGAACAACTGCGCCGATGAAAGTGAAGAGGGTAGCGAACCCGTCGAAAGCGACGGCGATTACGGGTATGGCGACGGCGGAGACGAAGTGTGCGATTAGACTGTAGAGTACGGCGATCCACGACAGGACGCACACGAAGATGGCGAAGTTGATGGCGGCCGTGGCGGATGAAGCGGCGTGCTGCGTGGTTGCGCGGACATTGCCGAGGAGGGCGGTTGCGACGAGGACGAGGAAGAACTGCGCTAAGCGCAGAATTGAGTTGATTAAGGACCTCATTGTGAGGTAGATACCGGCGAATAAATGTATTCGCTAGTTCGGTTGTTGAGGTGTTGGTATCGCCAGGTTGCTTTGAAAATAGTTGAGTTCGTCGAACCTCGATCGTAGCGATAGGGAAGAGGTATGCTGGATAGGAATCAATAGGTTGCAAATAGCCGCACGAGTCGAGGCCAAGATGGTATCACAATATAAGGTGTTGAGTTGTTGTTAGGCAAGTTTCTTCTATTGATTATTTTCGGTATTATGAGCGAGGGAGGCGGTTCAGGGACCAGGGTCGCAGGAGGAGCTGCAGAGACGCCTTAATCCCAATTTATGCGACAATGCGCATAGGTATGTAGGCACTGGGATAACGGGGTAATTTGGTCTTTGGTGACAATGCGATGCAATGTAGGCGAAGGATAGCACGTCTTGATTTATGGATTTGGGAATACGTTGTGTAGATGGTCTGATCTTGGATTAACTAGGTTCTGGTCGGATCCGGGAGATAGACATAGGCATTCTTTTGTCCAGCAAGTGCCCCGAGTCAAACGCTGGCAGCAGGGACTCGACGAGTGAGGTCATCGGCCATTTTTGGTATTAGTGTGGCGCTTCTAGGAGGAGGGGTTGCTAGGGACACAGACTGGATGCCACCGACAGACCAATCACGAAGAGGATCGTTGCTATGGCGCACATTAGCGGCTAAGTAGGTAATGCGGCACTACCCGAAGGCCTGGACCGTAGATGCTGTATTTAGGACGGTATGGAGAACAGTGTTTATAAAGACCCCTTACGAAGACTGCTATGTAGACTACTATGTAGACTACTCCGTCTCTACAACATCAATATCCACATATAGCTGTAACGGTCCTGAACTACAATAAGTGTCCAAATTGTCGATGAGCATGTAAAAAGGCACGAAATATGGACAGTGCGTATTGAGAACCTCATACGGAGAGCTAGGTCCTGTCCTGCGACCCCTCTAACTAACTAAATCACTTGCAATCATAACTGTGACTGTTGTCTAGGTATACACAACGCCTGAGTTGATTATATCGGGCTGCTCACTGCATCCTCTTCTGTGTCATCACCTTCGAGCCCCCCTATCCCCCAGCTTTCATCTAGTCTTTCTATGGCTTTTATAGCTTCTCTGTCCCACTTGCTCAAACCCACAATTACCCATTCAAGAGCCCCGACAATGTATAGGGCCACACAATTGCCAAACCACAGGCCCGCGAGGCCCCAGCCATGAAAGGCGAGATATATGCCCATCGGTAATGCACCGCCGTAGTAGCTGATTAGGTTGACGAGAGCCCCAACCCACTGTTTGCCCATGCCTCTCAAAACACCACCGCAACTACCATTCAACCCATCTGCGATCTGAAACAGTGCCACAAACGGCATCACTTCTCCTACTAGCCCAACGACGCGCTCGTCATCGTTGAACAGCTTACCGAACACATCCTTTGTGCCCAGGAGAATGGCCAGGAGGATGCTCCCAGCCAGTACTGAGAGCACCGCAGCACAGTGGGCCGCGCGAGCTGCCTCTCGTGGCTTCTGTGCGCCCAGGAGGTTGCCGATTCGTGATGATGTGGCCACCCCTAGGCCGAATGGGATTGTGTTGATGATCTGGTCTGCAGTCATGATGACCGATTGCGCGGCGAGCGGGATTGTGCCCAGCCGTCCGGCTGCCAGAGCTACAATCTCAAAAGCCCACCATTCCGTTCCAACATGGACAACCCCCAACAGTGCTAAACGGGCAAATGGCCATAAGTGGGATACGGCGCGTCTTAGATCAAGTCCGCCCCAACACTCATGGCCACGGATAAACACCGCATAGGCAACGAGGAGAAGGAACGATACCCAGTAGCTGATGCCGGTGGCAATTGGTGCCCCGTAGAGTCCAATCTCGAATTTGTGGACAAACAGCCAGTTCAAAAGTACGTTGAGTGGTGAAGTGATGAGGAGAACATAAGTTCCCGGTTGATAAATCTCCTGTGCCTGGAGATATTTCTTCATCGCCTCGAACCAGACGTATCCTAGTCCTCCTGGAATGAGGATCTGAAGGAATCTAGAGCTCTTCACACAAATGAATTCTTCCTGGCCAAGTGCTCGAAACAACGGTTCCGAGGCGCTCCATATCACCGCGATGATGGCATACAGAATAGTAAGTACGAGAAGACCCCGTTGCAGAAGAATCCCCAGGTCATGTCGATCTTGTGATCCAGTGAAGCTGCTTGATGCAAGCGTGTCGAGTGCTGTGGTGCCACCTAATGCAACCAACCATGCCGTTGCCATTGCGAACATGTACGAAAAGGCGGCCGTGGCTAGGGCTTCTGGCGAAAGTCGCCCAACTATCAGCACTGATGCAGTCTGAAGGCTGTTTTGGAGGGTATATGCCAAGATTACAGGTGTCGCCGCTTTGGTCAGTATCCAGATTTCTCTGAGCCATTCTCGATATCTGGAGACGAATCCATCACCATACTCGCCTGTTGGCTTCGGCAGCAACGCGGTATACTCGGTATTCGGAGTCGAGGAGTGGGTCATCGACGTCAGAGTCGAGGAAGCCGACGTTTCTGCCATGTTGTAGAACGGCTTTACAAAGGTCAAAAGGCCATTTGGACTATTTTCGGGTGTCTAGCTTTATAGGCACAGGATGAATACTACCATCACACATATTTGCAGAGCCGCTGGATCGATATCAAGCATATATCGGGTCAAACTAAGACAAGTGCGGACAAAGGGAGATAGAGATATTACCTTGCGGT